CACAAAGTCCCTTGGGGGCTCAAGTTATTAGAGGCATCACTGTCTTGTAACTAAACATCATTTACATAGCTGCCCAAGTCAAAGAGCTCATCTTTAATTCTTCCTTTCCCTCTTGCTTCTCATTTAATTCATTAGCAAGTCACATGAGCCCCGCCTTCAAAATATATCTACAGTCTGACCATTTCTCACCTCCTGCCTTGCCACTACCTTTTACACACCCTCCTTATATCTTCCTGGATTTTCCAGAAGGAACGCCACAGTAGATTTGCTTTCACCTGGATAGCAAGCAGCACACTTTCATCATTTTGCCTTAGTACTACGTCGGTTCTCCAGCTGTGAGTCATGCATACATCACAGAAATATTAATCCCATTACCTTCTTACATGCTAGTCCACACTGATGACATCATGCTGCTGAGCAAGGGTAGCAGATACCTTAGGTGCCTTGGTAAGATATGTGTATGTGAAAGAGATGGAGATGAACTCAAAAATTGAGAGACCTGACATCTCCATGTGTTATCTTGAATCCATTGCCTTATTGTAACTTGCTATTCAAAAAGGCCTTCCTTGTGGCTCAGATGGTAAAGAATCTGCCTGCAGTGAAAGAGACCTAGGTTCTATCCCTGGGTTGGGAAAATCCCCTGCAGAAGGGAATGGCAACCCACTCCAGTTGATTCTTGCCTGGAGAATTCCATGGACAGAGGAGCCTGGTGGGTTACAGTCCATAGGGTCACAAAGAATTGGAAATGACTGAATTGATGCATCCTAAGAAAGCAACACAGTTCTTTGTGGATCTTTTTAGTTTTCAAGGTAACATATAACACATTTGAGTTTGCTTCTCTGATTCATTTACCAAGTAGCCCATAAAGTTGTCAGATTTAAGTGGGGCCCAGCAGCTGGTCCAGAATGCAGGGTAAGCAGATGAATCACTTGCTCCTTATGATCCAGCAGATTGGTGCTTACAGTGTCTGTGGCCTGTATGGCTATAGTCTATTTTGATCCTTGCGTCATCAGGAAAATTACAGCTCATACCTTTGAGGTTTTTAGAGTAAAGGCATGGATGCTTTTGCAGATAACTGTTCTGCTGCTGAGAAACAGCTCTTGGATTCCTGTGGGGCAAAACCTGATGTTTTCCCTAGATGGTCTTGAACAAGATTTAGAGATGAGTGTGGAATTTGGGGAAAGAGGTATTTGGATCGACTTCAGAATAATCCAAAGAATCAGGATATTTGTGTCCCATGTGACTGTTCACCACAGAGCACTCAGTGCCAAGGACATCTTCAGTAATGAGATGGATGAGGTGGTCTGTTCTGTGCATGTCAGTTAGCGCCTTTCTCCCACTGGGTTCATAAACCAAGTGCCCAGGTGGCAAGGATGGAAGTTGTACATGGACTCAACCACATGAGTCTCCTCTTTTCAAGATGAATCTGTCCACTGTCACAGGAGGGGCAATGCTGAGCCCCCAGGAAGGTACTCTGGGTGGTGGGGGTCCAGTCATTAACAAAGTGCTTGGTCGGTTACACCGGCTTCCAGGTGGCGCCAGTGATAAAGAATCTGCCTGCCAATGCAAGAGAAGCAAGGAATGCGGGTTCAATCCCTGGGTCGGGAAAATCCCCTCCAGAAGGAAATGACAACCCACTCCAGTATTCTTGCCTGGGAAATCCCATGGACAGAGGAGGCTGGTGGGCTATAATCCATAGGGTCACATAAGAGTCGGACATGACTTGACAACTAAACACCACCGCCAGGTCAGTTACGCTGGACCCTCTCCACTATGGAGGAAGCAGAGACGTGTCTTCCTTGGGTGAAGTTCCTATTCTGGGTCTGGGTCTGCTTTCCTGGCACACCATGCTCCTTCAGCAACATCGTGTATAAATTGACCGAATGCCTTATTTTTCCATCATGGTAACCCACACAAGATTGCTTCAGATTATTTTTTTCTGAAATAAATAAATTCACTTATTAAACAAATAGACATAAGTACATAAGATAATCAGTATAAAATTTCCCACTCTTAGCATATACTCCACTATCTAGAAACAGTTGTTTTCAGGGAATGAGGGAATGGCTTTTTGGAGGCGCTTACTCCCTCATCTCATCAGCTAACGGACACTCTGGAAGGTTGGAGCACAGTCTGACAGGAGGTAATACATGCTCCCAGTCACTGACTAGAATGTGGTCCTCTTTCTTCTGTAGCTACAACTGAAGGACGGACATAGGAGAACCCTCTCTTGGAGTCACGCCTAATCACCAATGTGAAAAAAATGTTGCTTTCTTCTTCATAACTTTGGCTGCTCCTAGGCTAGAAGTGTTGATGGTCAAAGAATCAATACATTCACGCAAAGAATAAGAATGATTCCACCAAACTAGAAATTAAAAGTGTTCCCAGTCTACCTGGGGCTTCTAATGCCACTGGACAAACAGGCAAAAAAAAAAAAAGAAAAAGAAAAAACTACCCAAATGAGCATTACTATATTGACTCAGGTGATTAATCCTATTTACCGGAGAAAAATAGACTTGCTGATTCACAAGAGAATTACAGAGAAGTATTTCTAGGACTCAGACCATCTATGCAAGTGAGCTGAGTTTTTTTGTTTCTGTTTTTTGTGTGTGTGTGTGTGTTTTCAAATTGGGCTGCATCACATGGTTTTTGAGGATCTTAGTTCCTCCACCAGGGATCGAACCCATGGCCCCTGCAGTGAAAGTACAGAGTCCTAACCACTGGACCACCAGGGATTTCCTCTGGCAAATGCTTTCTGGCACATTCAATGGCAAAACCTAATTAAGAAAACTAAAGTATCTTCTACCTATAAGATCAAGATGTGCTCACACCTGGCAGGAATTGGAGAAGGTTTGGACCACATCAGTAGGTATAGAATTGACCAGTTCAGGTGCTGGCTGAGGACAAAAGGAAAATCGAACAGGTAGTAGAATGAGAAAATCACAAGAACTGGTGACCACTTTCAGAATCCAGGACTGTAGTAGCTCCCTGTATTTTCTTCCTCACCCAGTGGTATATGCATTTGTACATAAACCAATATTTCCTCTTTCCCTTTTGCTTACTATTTTAAGTAGGGCAAGTCAGTACCCATTGGCTTTATAATTCTAGGATACAAAGATGAACTGGGATTAACTGGAAGGAACAAGCCTCATCCAGAGGTATGCAGTGACTGTTGGGATGTGGCAGGAATGGGGTGGCGGTGAAGGCAAAGAATAGACATGTTTTCACCCGTGGGAGGACTAGGTGGAATGTGTTGTGCTGCCACTGTTGTTTGGATGTTTAAATGTGAGAAGAAGGGTACATGTGGAGAAGAGCCTAGAGGTCAGACTGAGGAGCACGTACTGGGTCTAGTCATGATGCATGGGCTCAGTTGCCCCTCGGCATGTGGGATCTTAGGTCCCCAACCAGGTATCAAACCCGAGTCCCCGGCATTGGAAAACAGATTCTTAAGCACTGGATGACTAGGGAACTCCCACTGTTCTTTCCACTGCTGGATTTTCACATGTGATGACCACTGGATGGAACCCATGAAAGGGGGAATCAAGTTGGCGACGAACTCCCCTGAGTGCCCAGTTGGCACAGGAAGCGTGGAGCCAGGAAGTGTCCTGGGGCCCACACGGGACCCTTCTTCGAGCACATTTTGGGTTGCTGCTGGAGTTATCACTGTGCAACATCAAATATCCAAGCACCTTTCAATGCTCCTGGTCTTGCATACACGCACCAAAAAACAAACCATGGCCATCACTAAGGTTAGAGATAATAAATGTAATGGAAGCTTTAAGAAAGATTTGGGGGCATGGCAGCAAGGGGTCAGGAAATCTCCATGGTAAGAATGTTTAGTAGCAGGAGACCGATGAACAGCATTGTCATAAATGATGGTAGCAATTGGAAAAGTCCTGGTGGGAAATATTTGGTTAATGGGAGCTGAACTGTGCAGCTTTGAGCTTGAGGGAGGGCAAAATGGTCTTGTGAAGATACTAGGCTGGAGGGGGTCGTGTCTGTCCTTAACCTCCTGGCCCTCAGGTAAAGGACCAGACAGCAGAAGGACATCCCGGGGGTGGTATTCCAGAGAACAGCTCTCTGCCCTGTGCCTACAGGCTCAGCGAGCAGACTGAATCTTGTAGGCCACTCTGCTGCATGGGGTGATGTCAAACATGCGAAGGACTTGGAGAGAAACTTGTGGACAGGACCCTGGGCCCAAGCATGTGTAAATTTTAGGTGTGCCGGTTGGCAATCTCCAAGGGCTGCTTGTCTGTTTCATTGTGGTTCACTACGGAGCAGCCCGTAGTGAGCTAAGGTGTCTGCTGAACAGCCCCAGGGGAGATGTGACTTATCTATTGTTGTTTAGTCACGAAGTCGTGAGCACCTCTTTTGTGACCCTATGGACTGTAACCCTCCGGGCTTCTCCACCCATGGGATTTCCCAGGCAAGAATACTGGAGTGGGTTGCCATTTCTTACTCCAGGGCATCTTCCCAATCCAGGGATCGAACCCACGTCTCCTGCGTGGCAGGCAGATTCTTGACCGCTGGGCCACCAGGGAAGCCAGAGGGGACTTAAGCCAGGGTTTAACATGAAGGCACCTGAGCAGCACTTAGCAACGCTCCTGCAGCTCTGGCTGAAGATGGGTCAACCACACATTGTCAGCCTCTGCCAAGTGGTTAATCGGAAATTCACCCTACCAGGCTATCTGCATTAACTATGTTATGTTGTATGGGCACTATTTATAACAGCTGGCATTTCGCATCTCAAATGAGATCAGGACTCGGTTTACTCCCTTAATCAAGTATTGCTCAGTCCTTTAGATACTTGGGTGCTTGCCTCTGTCCCCACAGAGGAAATTTCAGGAACTGGAACCATGACTGGCACCTCTCCAGGTGTATGCGGTGTTTCCTCCCAGGTCTCACGGGCGGCAGGATTTGGAGAGTGACGCTGAGTGAATGAATGACTTTCCCTTAACCCGCGTGTGATGTCACTGCCCTCTGACTTCTTCCACCCACAGTTGTGCACGTCAGACGAACTGTGGGAGCAGATCGTCCGGAGTTCCTGTGACCACATCACCCCCGACATGCAAGCCTTGGCCCAGGACATGGGCTGGAGACAGATGTACTTCACCAACAAGCTGCAGCTCCAGCGGCACCTCCGCAAGAGGAAGCAGCGGCAGGGAAGCCAGCAAAGCAGTCAGCCCTAGACGCACACATTCCCGCTGCTGAGGAATTGGAGGCACGGCTGTGTTTTCCTTCTGTGTCAGACCTCTTCCGCTGCCTTTCCTTAAGCGCTAAGGTTTTGCTGATTCAAGGAGTCAGAGTATTTGCACACACACACAGCACCATACCTGCTTCTGCCAGGCCTTTTGCCTGAACCACAGTCTCAGCTACAGGCCAGGGAGGGTCAGGTCGTGACCCTGGTACCGCTGGGGGGCGGGAGGGGGGTGCTGCAGGACAGGAGGCACCCATGTCCTGCACCCCGTTAGAGAAGAGGCTTCTGCTGTATGGAAACAATAAAGGATTATTGGCAGGTTTTGATTCCAGATGTATTTTATCTAGGTGTTGGAAAGGCGGAAGTGTGCTTCTGGAGTTATTCCTGGTGTTGTGTCACCTGAGTCCACCCATGAGTAGGTGGCTGAGTGTGCCCACAGGGAGCCATGAAGGGATAGGAGCCACGGAGCGGTGGGGGCGGGGGGAGTGCTCCCATGAGGGCAGCTGCCTCCCCGACTCTGCTCCTCGAAGCTGGTATTCAGGGCCCCCACCCTGTGGCCCAAGGATGCCAGGCATGTGTCCCCCACGTGGACAGCCTCTGACCTGGCCCCCCGGGACGTGGCTGGAGGGAAGCATAGATATTCCGCTCTGGGTGCAGACTTCAACTTCCCAGGACTTTATGTTGTCAAATAAACCTGTAAACATTCCTTAGAGAGATGCTGCTCTCCCCAAGGAATCTGGAATGTCATCACTTTTATAACAGGGATTTTTTCTTTTTTGCAGGGAGGGTATTTGATCTTTATTTTTATTAAAATATTTTATACAGATTTTTAAAGGTTACTTTCCACTTACAGTTATTGCAAAATATTGGCTATATTCCCCATGTTGTACAATACATCCTTAAGCTTATCTTTTCCCCAGCGGTTAGTACCATCCACTCTCCCACAGCTATATTGCCCCTCCCCTCCCTGCCTCCCACTGGTGACCAACCACTAGTTTCTTCTCTAGATCTGTGAGTCTGCTGCTTCTTTTGGTCATATTCACCAGTTCGTTGTATTTTTTAGATTCCACGTGTAAGTATAACAGGGAATTTTAGGAACACAGGCTGGGACTTCCCTGGCGGTCTGGTCATTAAGAATCCATCCCGCAGTACCGGGGACATGAGTTTGATCCCTGGTCGTGGAACTAAGATCCCACATGCCAGGGAGTTAGCCACAAAGAAAGATCCCTCAGGACACAATGGAGGCCCGAAGAAATAAAGAAGCATTTAAAGAACACACACACACACACACACACACACACACACACACACACACACCACAGGCTGTGGTAATGGAGGTTGAACACCCAAGCACAATTTGTATTCTGTCAAGTTGGCAGAGGGGCAAAAGCAGTACAGTTTGCAGCGAGAAAAATTCTACCTCCCTGAGATGGGTTACTTTAACAATTGTTTTCTTCCCGAGAGCTCTTACCAATGAAGTACCCATACAGCAAATAGGCTCATGACTCCTTTCAGGGTACAGAACAAAGTAGCTCTCAGCCTCCCATCACCTTATCAACCTTACCAGCGCTTCTTGCCCGCAATCTCCACTTGGCTACCTAGAAAAAATACAGCCCCCTCCCCAGGCCAGAGGACCTTCCTGTGATGCTCCGGGACATCCTAAATGGGAGCCAGAGGTGGGCTCTGGCTTTTCTCGACATCTCACTCCTCGGGAACAGCTCCACAGCCATGGCTGAGCGACAGATTCTTTCTTCCTGTTTTACTAAACCTGGATTCCTACCAGATCAGATTTTAACCCTCATCCACACGCCCTTAACACTCAGTCTTGGGTTTCCAGGGACGTCTGTGAAATCAAACGCAGTCTGCTTCCTGGCAGATGAAGCGTCTGTCAAAGTGGCGTCTGGATTTAGTCCAAGCACAGAGCAAAGATTTCATTGGCGAGAGACCCAAGCCTCCGGTCCTGCCCAGGACCGAGGTAGGGTGGCTGGCAGGCAGGCAGAGGGCTCGTGCCTCTGTGTGGCTCACTTGCTGCTTTGCTTCACTTGGAAGTTCCAGACTTCACTCCCGGCCAGGTTTTCAGTGACAGGTTAATATCATGTGCGTACAGCAACTGTGTGCATGTACACTGTGGGAAGTCAAGACAACTGTGTGAATATCAAATTACAACCCATTTGTGACCTTGATGCAAAATGTCAGCAGCTTAAAAATTTCATGTGTAATGGTTTATCAACTGAGTTCTGAAAACTTACAGGCATGCATAAGCTAGGTTCAACCTGCATTAATAAGAACACAAATATGGCTGTTTAAAAACTTGCTATGTATATCAAAGGTTTTAAGATAAAAATAGATGCTAAAAGTGAAATAGTTAAAAATGAGTTATTGTATGCTGGCTATTATTAATAGTTAAACAACATAGGTTATTAGATGATTTTAATAATTATTTGCCCTTATAATTTCAATGCCTTATTACCTAATTGAAATTATTTTTACCGAAATAGGAACAGTATCAATCAACCTAAAATCCTGTAAGACACCAGCAACCTCAGTGGTCAATCATTCTGCCTCTCTCTCCTGCCTCCATGGGGAGGTGATGGTGGTTTTGGACAGTTTTTGTGTGGACGGATAAATCTGCTTCGTTCATGACACATCGTTTCAGACTGAAATGTCACAGCAGTTTATACTTTTGTCTCTTTTCATCTTTTCACTCAAAAGTGCTTCTGCCCAGCTATCACTCACCATTGTAACTGTAAAAGTAAAATGCTGATATTCTCCAATGACTCATATGTTTAGTGTTACAAAAATAATTTATTAACAGTTGCATATTTGAATATTTAATTTATAAACTAAAGAAATATGTATATTTTACTCCATGTCAACTTCTAGTACTACTTTTTATTCCTGAAGAGGTTAGTATATTACATGCATTAAACTTTGATTATATGGGATCTGCAATTTAAAAAAAATTAATTTTATTTATTTTTGGCTTTGCTGGGTCTTTGTTACTGCACGGGCTTCTCATTGTGGTGGCTCCTCTTATTGTGGAGTACAGGCTCTAGGCGCACAGGCTCAGTAGTTGGGTTCGCGGGCCCTAGAGTGAGCAGGCTCCAGTAGAGGTGGCAGACGGGCTTAGCTGCTCTGTAGTGTGCGGAATCTTCCTGGACCAGGGATGGAACCCATGTCCCCTGCACTGGCAGATGGATTCTTATCCACTGTGCCACCAGGGAAGTCCCTGTTCCAAGCCTTTGATGAACTAGAGTACTGCCCACTTTTCCATAAGCATACTATCATATGTGCATGTGTGCGTGCTCAGTTGCTCGGTCGTGTCTGACTCTGTGCAACCCCACGGGCTGTAGCCCACCAGGCTTCTCTGTCCATGGGATTTCCCAGGCAAGAATACTGGAGTGGCTTGCCATTTCCCCCTCCAGGGGATCTTCCCAACCCAGGATTAAACCCATGTCTCCTGTGTCTCCTGCACTGGCAGGTAGATTCTTTACCACTGCGCCACCTGGGAAGCAAGCATACTGCTATACATTTATTTAAATAATAAGCATATTCTTCTTCAAAGCCCTCACATGCTCTAAGGGCAAACCAGGTAAAGGACTGAGTCACAGAGTGGAACATGTCTCACTGGTATCTTCCCAAACTCAGTCCTCTCTTCCTCTTGCTACTTTCCTCCACCAAAGACCAGGCCTTCCCAAGAACTCACACCTTTTCCCACTTGACCTGACATTGGAAGAGGCTCCCCAGTGTCAAGGTGAGACCCTCAGCCCAATCCTTCTTTGACTGTTGGAGGTCCACACAGTTCATTTATGGCATCTTTAATGCATTGCCAGTGATCTGCTCTCTGCCCTGACTCAGTTTCCCTTTCCTGATGCCAAATGCTGCTGCTTCCATCTTTACAATTCAACATCAGCCTTTTCTCCCCCACCCCCAACATTTTGGCTTTATAACCCTCCATTCAGTGTTACATTTAAGTCACACTCCATTTATTGTTATATTTAAGCATGGATCATTAACTTTAAGGAAGATTAGAAATCTTGTTTCCTTGGTTCACAGCTGTACCATCTAATTGCAAAGATGCTGAAAAAGATGAATCTAAAATCTACTGAAAAAAAGTATAGATTTGAAACAAAATATGACTTAAAAGCTACCTATTCCTTGGCTTTACAATGTTAAAATTTTACCTTTGTGTTACCTCCTAAGTTGTGGCATCATGTTAAGAGAAATCATTCAGAGTCTAAAGAAAAAAGAATATTTTAAATGCAGATGTGATGAGTTCATTAAATGCCAAAAATTGTTGATTATGGCTTTTCAACATAGGAAGGCAAAGCCACTGGATTACCCTGCAGGTAGGCAGCTTGTGCAGTGTGCGCCATCACAGAAGGTTCCTCTGGCAGAAAGGCATGTGAGCCTTCAAGCTGACACTGCTGACTGCTGGCTGGCCAGAGTCAGTAGAAGACGTCACAGCGGCGCCACTTTATAATGACACAGTAGCTTGTGAGATCAAAGATTTAGCTGCAAACAGGAAGGCTGAGTTAATACCATCTCTGCAGAATGGTACTTTTGTCTCACAAATGGGCAAATCAACGGATGTGTCCAGACTCACCATTTTGCCTGTGTTCAACCAGTGTTACACCAACTAGACAAAGATCTTTTATGTGAATGCTCAGAAGCAAACACAAGGGGTGCTGAGACATTCAAAATACTGAATAACTTCACTCGGTCTCGTGGTTGACCCTGGAGTACCTGTGCTGAGGTTGGCACTGCTGACACAGGGCATTGGTGGCTGCTGTTGCTGCTTTGGCACAAGGCAGAGCAGGGCCACTCAAACGTACCAGAAGCCACTGTATTTTTCATTGGCATGCTTGCAGTCAAACAAGGGCCAGATTCACTCAAGGGCATCCTGGATGAAACAGTAAAAATGATCACTTTTATGAAATCTTTACTCTTGACTTCACATCTTTTTGAATATCCAGTGTGACAAAATTGTTACCGACTCAAACTTGAGTCTGATAGAGCAGCAAAGCCAATCTACTGACACCTGGTTGTGGTGAAGGAAAAGACAGTATTCATTGCAGGGTGCAAGAAAGGAATACAGGCAGCTCATGCTTAAAAGACCCAAATTCTTCTAGCTTTCCGGGGAGGTTTTTAAAAAAAAGTGTGAGGTAACAGATTGAATGCAGAGACAAACATGAGAAAACCCTATCTGTTCTCAGACACGAGAACCCCCAACTGTCTTCTATTAATCCAAATATTAAAGAAATTTTCAAAAATGTAAAACAATGTCACTACTCTTACTAAAATTTTTTTGGGGAAATATGGTTACTTTTCAAAAAATGTTTTATATGAATGTGAGTTCATTGATATTTTAGAATGAAGTAATAACATAAACATTTTTAAATTTTCTTAGTTTTGTTTCCTAATATGGTAAGTATCAATAAGATACAGCCTATAAAAGCAGAAGATCTCTGGGACTTCATTGGGGACCTGAGACCCAAGAGTTTGAGAACTCTAATTCTAGGATTTGTAGTCTGTGTCCTTCATTTGATAAGTAGACATACCTAGGGATGGTTCTTCAATTGTTTTCTTGAGCCTCTATGTATTTTACATTATTAATTACAATTTCATTTAAGCAGGTCACAAGTCTAATTTTCCTTAGCTTTCTTATCCAATTGTCACTTTTAGCAACAGTAGCTTCCTTTGCATGCAGGCAAGCACTTTGCATGAGCTGGCCCTGTTCTATTAGGAGCCCAGTTTACATCTGTTGAATGGAAAGGAACTATGGAGGCACACAGTGGAATAAAAATACTATGTACTAGGAATGCTCCATAGATAGTAATTGACCAGAATTTCATCCTGAAAGAAAGAAATAATCAAAACAAGGGAGTCAGGATGAGCACTTGAAATCAACTGGAGGTTGAGACCAGTATTTATCACAACATTACACATTATGGTTAAAAATCAGAAACAACCTAAGTGGCCAACAATCAGGAATTTGTTTTTATTTTTTTAAAAAAAGATTTACTTATTTTTGGTGTTTCTTTATTGGCTGGGTCTTCATTGCTTTGCTTGGATTTTTCTCTAGTTGTGGTGAGCAGGGGCTTACCCACTGGTTGCAGTGCACGGGCTTCTCATTGTAGTGGCTTCTCTTGTGCAGAGTGTAGCCTCTAGCATGGGCTTCAGTAGTTGTGGCACACAGGCTTAGCTGCTCCGTGGCATGTGGGATCCTCCTGGATCAGGGATCAAATCTTTGTCTCCTGCATTGACAGGTGGATTCTTTACCACTGAGCTGCCAGGGAAGTTTGTTTTTTAAAACATCATAATTTATACAATCGTTAAAAGTGATATTGCAGATAGGTATTTGTCACATGGAATTTTTTTGGACATAAATTGACCATTTTTTCTCCCTCCTTGCTGCCCCATCTCCTTGCCCCTTAAGAAAGAGTTGACATAGAATACCATTATCAAAACTGTGTTTAATCCCTCAGTTGTGTTGGAGTGAAAAAGCTGGTTGAGACTACTGGACTGAAGATGCATATCAACTGATACAGAGAGATGTCACTGACACAGTGTTCATGCAAAGAACACATTATAATTTGCTTAATAACAACATTTAATTATAAATTATAATTTAAAGTATAAAAGTGATTTTTGTGAAACACACAAATACTAAGAAGATATAAAAGATATTGCAATGTCTATATCCGAGTATTAGAATTACATTTACATTTTTTTCTTCTTGTTGCTTATTTTTATTCTAATTTCAGTGTACTAATACATACTTATATGCTTATCAAATTCAGTATATCAATGAACATGTAACATAATACTGGTGTAACAGGAAAACAAATTATCTTTAATTTGTTAAAATACAATAATAACACAAGTTTGTCTTTATCAAAATGTTACACTGGTAGTGATTAGCAAAAGGAAAAAACCATGCTAATAAACTCACTGTTGCTTTTTCTTTTTTGTTTTTGTTGCTTTTTCAAATTGGCTGGAATGCTTTATTTTTTTGTCCTGCTGAAGGGAATGCAGGATCTTAGTTTCCTGACCAGGGATCAAACCCACAGCCCCTGAGGTAGAAGCATGGAGTCTTAACCACTGGATCACAGAAGAACTATACAAAAAAGATGTGAATGACCCAGATAACCACAATGGTGTGATCACTCACCTAGAACCACCTTTTTTGTAGTTAGCAAAAACGTAACTGGGATTACATTAAACACATCTTGATTTTTCTCTCTTGGCAATATATCTTGAATCCTGTTTTCTAATTTTATAGATGGATCTGTCTCTTTGTAATGTTTGCATAAATACCATACTTTATTAAGCAGTTCCCACTGATGGACATTTAAATTATATTCAGTCTTTTATAGCAAACAATAAATCAAACAACCCTTATTCATTTGTCTTTGTTCATGTACAAAAAACTTTAGAAGTGTAGTTGCTCAGTTAAAAGGTTTTTAACCTTTTAAATTTTAGAGCTAAACTTGGCCCCTCTAACAGTTAGTGTCAGGTAATTTTCTCCAGGTGGTTTGGCACTCAGTCACTCAGTCATGTCTGACTCTTTGCAACTCCACACAGCCCCCACTAGGCTCCTCTGTCCATGGGATTTTTCAGGCAAGAAGACTGAAGTGGGTTGCCATTTCCTACCCCAGGGGATCTTCCCTATCCAGAGATCGAAGCCACGTCTTGTGTCTCCTGCATTGGCAGGTGGATTCTTTACCACTGTGCCACCTGGGAAGCAGGTTTGGTAACCACACCTAGAGAAAAACTCTTTTCCAGGGAAAGAACCGAACTGATAATCATCACTTAGGAATTTTCCTCTTAAAACCAAGAAAATAAAGATTTTGTACAGAAACTCACTGACCAACTTTAAAGAGGACAAAATTTATTTAGTTATATGTAAATAAAATTATTTGAATACATGAGGGGAAACCTATAAAGCATATAACATTACAATCAACTCTTTATAATATCTTCAGAGAACTGTAAATAATATTTTAAACAGGATATATGAATGTATTTGCTGTAATTCTTTACAGGCATTCTCTTTTTTTCTGTTGGCAACATGAATATTGCAAGTAAGATTTACTTTGTTTTTGTAAAATGAGGACTTGATTTGGAAGAAATGATCACTTCCATAAATACAGTAAATCAACAAACAACTGGATGGACTGAACATGAGCAGGTCTAACGGATAGTTAACCAAAGCTGGATCATTGGATAAAAAGTTTGTATTTGTGATGCACAACTAATAGTTGAAACATCGACACTGGCTATATAGCACCATTCCAAATATTTAACTCTGCCTGGAGAAGACTCTTGAGAGTCCCCTGGACTGCAAGGAAGATCAAACCAGTTAATCCTAAAGGAAATCAATCCTGAACATTTACTGGAAGGGCTGATGCTGAAGCTGAAGTTCCAATATTTTGGCCACCTGATGTGAAGAGCAAATTCTTGGAAAAGATCCAGATGCTGGGAAAGACTGAGGGCAGTAGGAGAAGGGGTGACGGAGGATGAGATGGTTGGATGGCATCATCGACACAATGGACGTGAATTTGAGCACACTCAGGGAGATAGTGAAGGACAGGGAAGCCTGGCGTGCTGCAGTCCATGGGATCACAAGGAATCAGACACGACTGAGTGACTAAACAACAACCTGTTAATTTGATCGTGTCAGTAAATGAAAGTAAGGAAGCAGTGTTGTCAGTTTTAAAACCCACAACATGATTTTCAATCTAATCATCCTAATTTAATGGTAAATATATACTGAGAGAAAAAACACTGTGTCAGCATTGAAGATTACCTTTATCAAAAACAGAGAGTAGGATCTTTTCATAGCAACCAAAGCTGTCACGATAACAAACAGGTCGTGTTGGACCAAATGGAGTATGACATGCAATTTATTATCTATCATAATTTACAGGCAATTCTCGAATCATTGGAGGTAATGTGGGTATATTAGCCATGCTTTTGTTCCTCCTTTCCATTAGCTGCCTTTTATTATTATTGTTATTTTGGTGGTCCCTTTCATTACACAACCCCTCCCACTAGACATTAGAGCAGGAAATAATGGAGATGAAACAAAAAGGAAATGTGTGCATGTAATCACTTGTTAACAGCTCTGAAGGGTTTGGTGGAATAAAAGACTGAAACAGCTGGCTAAAATTAGACTGGGGTAACATTCTGTGACTCCAGTTTCTAGTACCATTCCTGTCTAATCACCAAGGATAATTAAGAATGGTCTGTACTCACTTTAGATAAATTTGACCCAAGACACTGGCAAGGATATTAAAATATTTGTGTGTGTGTGATAAGCAAATCGTGAGTGAAAATTTAAATAGTTCTAAAATAGGTGTAAACAAGTAAGGCAGCCAGAAATTTCAAAACAATTCTCGGAAGAACATTTTGCAGTCTGAAAAATGTTTGGCTTAGAAAAATAGAGATCTCCGATAAAGGAAGAGCATTACTTGATGTCATGAATCATAGTTATCTTCGGTATGAAATCAATCAAGAGAACTATTTTAAAAACTGTGCTGAGCTCAGGTGAATGAACTGCCCATAGCCCAGCAAGAGGCATTGGAGAAGGGCTGCTTGTCACCACCACTCCAATGTCTGGTGCACAGACGTTTGGACCAAGGGCCTTTTGTTTATTATCCTCACAACGTGATAGTCTTATATTTGGGATTAGTAACGTGCTTTACAAATGACTTAAACAACCAGCTTTACATGTCAATCAGCAATTCATTTTCTACTTTATTTACTGAGTAAGAGAAACCCAGAAAAAAATTTTTATAGGCCCCAGAGCATGCGGATAAACTAAGAGGTCAATAAAATGAATAAAAGTGCTTGAATTTTAGCCCTTGACTCAATGGTTATATGCACAAATAAGACTTTCACTAAGGAGATTATTTATATTATTTATTTATTAAGATTTGCCTCAAGATTCAGTTTATAACTAGATACTACTGCATTACGAGTAATGGCAAATGCTATGTTTAGAGAAAGATTTAGAAATTGTATGCCCTAGCTGTAGAATTCTTTAATAAAAATATAAACTGTGTTTCTTTAATTGTACTAAATGCATTGCCTTTGAAATTAGGGTCTGCCTTTGTTTTACACTGGTTGAGCGATAGCTCCTTTTAATAATTTCTGAAGTCTAGCATTTTCTTGTGCTTAAAATTCATTTACAGGTTTCCTCCACCGTCTGAAAGCAGAGAGCATTCTATGAAACCTTAATTGAAATGGCATAAAGCAAAGAAGCCATGACCTCCGGACACATCTTGCTAATGGATGCACAAATAAACTGTGATCAAGCACGGATGCTCATAGACACCATCCAAAGTTCTGGCGACTTGATGCTGAGATGTCTGTGTGGTTCCTGGGAGGGAGCTTGGCACCGACTCTGCAAAGGTTTGCAGCAAAACAAATGCTGAACAAGGTTCCCCTTTTTTTGTAAACGCAAAAATCCTCCTCTAGTTTTTCCTGTGAGCGAAAACTAATGCAGGTCTTTTGTAAAAGCAAAGTAGTGAAAAGCGCTTTCAAAAAGCAGGGGAAACCTGTAACTGTTAAGTTTTCCGGAAGCACTTAAACACCTTATTTTCACCTTACAAAGAAGTAACTAGGTTGAGAAGCTATCATTCTGTTTTAAAAGCTATGTTTAAAACCCTAGTCCGAGTATGGATGATGAGATAGTTTTTAGAAGGGCATTTCTACCAGTGATTCAACAGGCTGTCTTTGCAGGACACTGTCCTCGCTAAGGTGCACGTGGTCCATAGCGCTCTCCCCACACGGAAAGACAGCGCTGCTTTCACATGAAGCCATGGCAACGGCATTTAAAACAACAGTGTCAGTTACGGAGACAACACGCTTTCCCACGATATGTCACAGGCTCCTCACAGTAACCATGTGAGGGATGCATGAGTATGACAAGGAAATCTTACACGGAACATCACAGGACACTACACATTTGCACCATCCATGTATTTTTTTCTGGATTGTTCTATAATTTGAATACACGGTTGAATGAGTAAAAAGAGGATTCCTACCATGTAGAGTAAACCGCTTATATAGAAGGAAAAGTCATATTTTTGGGTGATGTCGAAGATCCACCCTACAAAACAGAAAAGAATATATTCAGCGTAATGAAGGTAAGATAACAAAGTCGAGAACACAAGGCAAACATTTTTTGCTACTATAAGTAATTTTCTAAGAATTTATTATATGTCGTTTGATGCTCCAGACATTTCATGCAGCCATTTTTAAGTCTGGTCTGTTGGAACCTGAGTTCTCCATGCCTGGGAATGACTACATTTACCTTTAAAGCCACTGGGGTGCTTTTAAAGGCAATGAAACAGTAGCTGGCCGACCTATGGGGAAAATGTGGCTCATAGCCCTTGGGGGTAACTTCTTTTTATTTTGCTTTATAATATTGTATCGGTTTTGCCATACATTGACTTGAATCCTCCATGGGTGTACATGTGTTCCCCATCTTGAACCCCCCTCCCCATCCCATCCCTCTGGGTCATTCCAGTGCCCCAGCCCCGAGCACCCTGTCTCATGCATCAAACCTGGACTGGCGATTCGTTTCACATATGATAATTTATGTGTTTCAATACCATTCTCCCATATCGTCCCACCCTCGTCCTCTCCCACAGAGTCCAAAAGACTGTTCAATATATCTGTGTCTCTTTTGCTGTCTCTCATACAGGGTCATCGTTACCATCTTTCTAAATTCCATATATATGCGTTAGTATACTATATTGGTGTTTTTCTTTCTGACTTACTTCACTCTGTATAATAGGCTCCAGTTTCATCCACCTCATTAGAACTGATTCAAATGCATTCTTTTTAATGGCTGAGTAATATTCCACTGTGTATATGAGGGTGACTTTTAAGCTGGCACAAAGCCAACAGTGAAAAGTGACTCTAACGATTTTCTTTTTACATGAATCTTTTCTAAAACCTCAAAACATTTCTGAAGAAGTTTCTAGTGTGTATCCAAAGAGGCTGAGTGGAAGATACTTGAACTTTGATTAATTCTGAAGTATATGAGGGTAAACATCTGTTCGAGAAGGAATCAAAATTTCTAGGTTTTATGAAATTCACATTTACAGCTATAAACCGTAATATATATTTAAACTTATGAAAGTTTGAATTGCCAAAGATATAGCCTTAAATGCTAAGTCATCAGTTCTTTTAAAAATACTTTACTCTTAACGTTATAGTCTTGTGGGCTTCCCTAGTGGCTCAGGGTTAAAGAATACACCTGCCAATGCAGGAGACACGGGTTTGATTCCTGGGTTGGGAAGATTCACTGGAGAAGGAAATGGCAACCCACTCTAGGTTTCTTGCCTGGGAAATCCCAGGGACAGAGGAGCCTGGTGGGCTATAGTACTTGGGGTCACAAAAAGAGTTGGACAAGACTTGGCAACTAAACAACAACAATATTAGTCTGATACTTTCATATAATGATCTTACTAGGGACTTCATAAAACACTACCATATTTCATGGATTCCAAGATACCATGAATTACATGATGCATCATTATCTTCAGTTCAGTTCAGTTCAGTCGCTCAAGTCGTGTCCGACTCTTTGTGACCCCATGAATCGCAGCACGCCAGGCCTCCCTGTCCATCACCAACTCCTGGAGCTTACTCAAACTCATGTCCATCGAGTCAGTGATGCCATCCATCATTATCTTACATATCAATAAAAAAGGAATACATTGTCAATTAAAATATGACTTGATGTTTTCTTAGAACTCTGTAAAAGGCATTCAGACTTCTGAGAAGCTAAAATGTGAAAAAAAAAAGTTTCAGAAACCATGAAGCATGATGTTTCATTCACTTCAGTGATTAATTCTAAGGATCAGTCACATGTCATGGTCCCCACATTGCCAGTTATGCAAGCTGAGAAGATTAAGCTAGACAAAGAATTTTATTTATGGTAAAAATGTAAACATTCACTTTTTCCATTTCAACAAGGGTATTAATTAGCAGAGGCATAAGAAAAATATAAATGATTTAATGACCAAACATAGTATTCCATGGCCACTTAAAAAAAGTATCTAATGATACTGCTAATGAATGCATAAATGTAACTTACAACCCTCTCCCACCAACAAATAGCTACACAAAATCAACTGCTAAATGTATAAACAGTTCCTCTGACTTCCTGGGGGTTATTTGTATCTCTTGCTTATTGTAGCCAGCGCTTAATGTGCCTGAATGAGTCAAGGCCATCATAAAGAAGAACACCAAAAATGTACACTTTTCAAAAATCCCTCGGACTATGAATTCTGGATACACTTTAAAAGTAAACCAACTATGGTTGTGATAAAAAAAAAAAAAAAAAAAAGTAAACCAAGCTTTTGAGTCTGTTATTTGATACATAAAAAGAAGAGAATATCATAATCTTTAAATGTGGCTTAGTAAATGTTCTATCATCTTTTTTTACTCTCCAGTTTGAGACAAGAGAGACAGATAAGCTTACCCATATAATCCAGAAACCATGATTCAGCTTCAGCACTGAATCAGAAAGTTCACTGACATATGAACAAAAACACATCCATCTTTGTTCATGCCTCCATTTGTCAGCTGTGGACCACTATGAATTATGATGAAGTGAAGAATTTACTGGCAGATAACGCTGAGTGGTACGTCTTCACAAGCAGAGTACAAGACAGCACTATCTTAAGTTATAATTTGTAAAAAATCAATACATACAAACGAGGTTCTCCTAACAGTCCACTCATTCCAGATGAACGTTGATCTTATCGGTTTAACAGTTCATTCCTCACTTTTCTATGATCGAATCATTGGGAGTTAGAAAGTAATACTTCTAAACAACCAACAGCTCGAACAGGTTGGTTTCCCACCATTGCTTAACATGAACTCGGAGACAGGACAAAATCCTTATTAAAAAATTAATATGTACTTAGTTCAGACTATTTACTTACTTACTTTTTTGTTAGAAGTGGTTGAGTACAAGCTCCAGGGCTCTGTGAAAAGGCCCCATCCACCTCTCCTGAACTCAACCACTGGCACAGGCCATACCGAATTTTTTGGAGTTTCAAGCACATTTGTCTTGGCACCCTGACTGTACGTGTACTATTACTCCTTCTGGGGGGACAGTAATAACCCCATCATCCTTCGAGAACACCCTACCATCTTCTTGCACCACTCCATCCTCCCTCTTGCCTGCAGACTATAGAAAACAGCGCTAAGTATTGTTATAGCCTTACACTGAATTAGTTATATTTTAAAGTCTTTCACCTTTCCTCTAAAAGTATAAACTTCTGTAAAAGCACCTTCACATGTCCCAATCTTTAAAAGTAACTCAATTTTTCAAAAAGTGCCACCAACTTTACCAAACAATTTGACAGTGCAATTAGGGTTGCCAGCCCTAATTTTTACATTAAATTAATTCCATAGTTTTCTCCAATCTACCTTTAGGATTTATTCTGAAATGATTCCAGATCCTGCCATCTCCGCTAGTTTGAACTCAACCCAGTCCTGAGTCTGATGCAAAGCAGATCAGGAGACAGCACTTTTATCACGTGCTTCAGCCCAGCACATGGGGACAAAACTCTTTAGAAACGACATGTTTCAGAGAAGATGCACACCTCATTCATCCATCACCCATCTCTCCCTATAGGTCTGATCTCAGTCCCTTGGTTTGGAGCTCGGAATTCCTGGCAGTTCTGATTCAACCATCAACTGAAATCAACAGCTTCAAAGTAAAATCTGGTTCCTTATTAATTTGCATTCCTTTTTCATTTGAGTCTATCAAATGAGGAGTGATGGCTGTTTAATAAGTGTTCCCAGCTCTTTGTGAAAAAACATTACAAATTATTGTTAGCCTGTTATATTTTGTGTGAATACTGGAGATAATTGTGGATTCTTGGTCAGTCAAATCTGGTGGCTGAGTTTTGCTATACTTTACCCTGGAAACATCTAAAAAAGGATCTACTATTACTACGTCTTTTAAAAGAGGCAAACTGAATGCCCAGAACATTATACAATGAATTACATCAAGAAGTTTGTGTTGCCAAATGACACAGTTGAAGTGACTGTTCAATATCTTTGATTGCATGTTCTTCTGCTAAATGGAAATGTGTGATTATCTAACATGCTACTAAATTGTACCAGATTTTTTTATGCCAGTAGAAATTGCTTTGAAAAACGGAAAACACATTCATTTTTAAACCCATTAAAAAAGAAAAAGCTAATGTGAACAGTAATTTTCCTTATAGCACTTCAAGCTAAGTAATAATTTCTAGCCCACCTGGAATTTCTAGCAAGAATTTAATGTGGTTATTTAGTCACTCATATTGCCAGCCACTGCTATAATGCATAAAGGCTGGCCTTGTGTCTCACTGCAATATTGGCTCCTTGGCCTGGAAAATCAATGAATTAAACACAATGCAGTTGGCCAATCATGCTGCTCAGCATTTCTCAGCACATAGGTTCAGGGGAAGAAGAAATAAACAAAAAGAAGGAAAGGCCCCTTTAGGTTGCTGGCCTGGAGACGTACATCAGAACATTGATTTCAGCATTTCCGTGGCAGCATTTTGAGGATTCCCTGGTGGCTTGGATGGTAAAGAATCTGCCTGCAATGTGGGAGACCCAAGTTTGATCTCTAGGTTGGGAAGATCTACTAGAGAAGGGAATAGCTACCCACTCCAGCACTCTTATGTGGAGAATCCCAAGGACAGAGGAGACTAGGGGGGCTACACCATGGCAGCATTTAAAACACATCCACCATTAATACAGCAGTTTCTACCATCTGTCGTGGATCAAATTCAGCTACAGACTCCACTTCTAGGGAGGAACCCTGAAGCAGAGATCAAACCCAAGGACTGAGAGGTGGGTATAACTCCCTATCTTCTAGTTGTAATTCCTTTCCCTTCCACTCAAGAAAGTGCACTAGAATTAAAATGTGTGAAAAGGAAATGACCATAGGGATAGGATAAGAAAGCCATGCTGTCAAACTTCGGTGCTTTAATTAACGCTGATCATGAATTACTTATGCTGTACCTTACAGCTGCTTTGTGATAGTGCTATTGCAATCTAATGAAAAAGTGAAAGTGAAGTCACTCAGTCATGTCCGGCTCTTTGCAACCCCATGGCCTAGACAGTCCATGGAATTCTCCAGGCCAGAATACTGGAGTGGGTAGCCTTTCCCTTCTCCAGGGGATCTTCCCAACCCAGGGATCAAATCCATGTCTCCCCCATTGCAGGTGGATTCTTTACCAGCTGAGCTACAAGGGAAGTCCAAGAATACTTGAGTGGGTAGCCTAGCCCTTCTCCAGATCTTCCTGACCCAGGAATCGAACTGGGGTCTCCTGCATTGCAGGTGGATTGTTTACCAACTGAGCTATCAGGGAAGCCCATTGCAATCTAATGGATCAGTATAAAATAATTCCAGACTGACCATTAGAAGCAGAAAGTACCCCCTGATCATGCAAAGAAACATCAACGGCAGATTCTATTTCCACACACAATACATCTGAAGGACTTCCAACAAGAGGGTGGATGAGTCACTGATAAAGTCCCCATCCCTTTAATGGATATTTAACTTCTTTGGAAGGTACCACTGGTTGATTGATCCGACCCCCATTCCAAATCTTTTCTCCTTTCCTTCCTCTAGTCCGGAGGCTAGAAAGCAAAGTTCTCCAATTTTCAGTTTCCCCTGAAGCTTAGACTCACTGTGAGACACAGTTCTGGCCAATTAGATATAAGTGGAAGTCTGCTGGGACTCTTTCATCCCTTCCTCTTTCTTGTTACAAATAAGTCTGCAGTGACTGGAGCCACTGGAGTCACTTGCATGACTGTGAGCAACCAGCATGAGGAAAAGGCCAAGAGGATCTTGAGACATTGTCTCAATATCATCATCTAGTTTCTGAACTCCAGATTTCTGGTTATGTGACACAATTAAATCTCTATTTAAGCTACTATTGTTGGGGTGTGATTTTACAACAAAATTCATCCCTAACTGATAGAGAATTCTATACAATGAGATCACTGAACAGTTTTCAGCTGCCAACAGTCTACTGCATTGCTATAGATATTCACTGTCACTTAGAAATGCTGGCTTGCACTTCTGTGTATGAGCAGAAAATAGGAGCAGCCTGACTCAGAAGGGGCCCCATATGTAGCCTCTGGGTTTCCTAGAGCAATTCTTGCATTTTAAACCTTTAGTCAGCCAGCTGCCAGCGTTGTCAGCTGAACTGTTATTGTTCAGTTGCTAAGTTGTGTCCAACTCTTTACGACCCCATGGACTGTAGCCCGCCAGGCCCCTCTGTCCTTCAGTATCTCCGGGAGTTTGCTCAAACACGTGTCCACTGATTCGGTGATGCCACTCAACCACCTCATTCTCTGTCGCCCCCTTCTCCTCCTGCCCTCAATCTTTCTGAGCATCAGTTGAATAAAAAAAAAAAAATATATATATATATAATTTCTGGAGCTTCAAATCTTGTTGGGGGGGGGAGGTGGGACATAAAGATGGATGGGTTAGTTAGCACAAGCCCTCTACCAGTGGGGCCCTAGGATAGGAGATGACTGTGGGTCTGTAGAGAGACTGGGAAGAAAGGGGTGGGAGGGTTTTGGCCTGAATCCACAAGCTTCCCCAGCTACTGGGAAGTATTTCTGCACAGGATATAAGAACAAAGGGCCAGGAGCAGCCAGAAAAGGCGAGGGTGGGACATCTGAATAGGTGAGGCTCCTCCGGTGAAAACCCTGCCCAGAACTTCTGGTAGCTCTGGCAACTGCTGCCAGTCTGGCCTGGATGCCCCATCAGCCACCTCCAGAGACCACCTTGGTGTTAACATTTGACTCTAGCCTCTGCCATGCTTTGCAGGCTCCTGCCTTCAATCTCAGGACCATGGGAAGACTCTGTGACTTTGCCCAGCACCTGGCCTCTTGGGGACTGGGTCAACCTGCCACAAAGCTTAAAACCCACTCAGAATGACAGGTTCAGAGAGGTACCTGCCCAGGCATGGGACTCCTCCTGGGTGCCTATGGCTTCTGGTATGCCCAATGCAAGTGGCAAATTCTTCAGTGAACTGGGGTGAATGTATGTGAGAGATCTCATCCTAGATGTTGGCAACTGGAGGTCTCTTGAGACGGGGTTTTTTTCTGGATTATCTAGTGGACCCAATGCCTGTCCCATCCCATGGACAGGTATCTTTAAAAGTGAGAGGTTGGATCCAGCCCAGGTTGGATGCAGGAGACAAGGGCTCGGAGCTGGTGCACTGGGAAGACCCAGAGGGATCGGGTGGAGAGGGAGGTGGGAGGGGGGATCGGGATGGGGAATACATGTAAATCCATGGCTGATTCATGTCGATGTATGGCAAAAACCACTACAATATTGTAAAGTAATTAGCCTCCAACTAATAAAAATAAATGGAAAAAAAATAAAAAATAAAAGTGAGAGGAGGCGGCAGAGTCAGAACCCCAGAGAAATGAGAAGATGCTCTGCTGTTGGCTTAGATGATGGAGGAAGGGGTCAGGGGACAAAAAAGCAGGCGGCCCCCAGAAGCTGCAAAAGGCAAGCAAACAGATTGCCCCAGAGAGCTTCCAGAAAGAATGTGGTTCCACCAACACCTTGGTTTTGGCACGCTGTGATCCAGTTTAGCCTTCTGACCTCCAGGACTGAAAGATCATATGTTTGTACTGTTTTAAGCCACTAAGTCTGTGGCGATTTATTACAGCACCAGTAGAAAACTCCTGGGCTTCCCAGGTGGCACTAGTGGTAAAGAACCCACCTGCCAAGACGGGAGACATAAAAGATGCGGGTTTGATCCCTGGGTTGGGAAGATCCCCTGGAGGAAGGCATGACAACCCACTCTAATGTTCTTGCCTGGAGAATCCCATCCCATGGATAGAGAAGCCTAGTGGGCTACAGTCCATGGATCGCAAAGAGTCTGACATGACTGAAGCGACTTAGCACACACATAGAAATTCTTACAGGGCTAGCTCCAGCCCACAGATCTGTTGAATCTACAGATGTGTTTTGAAAATCTGGAAAAGTCATCTGAGAGTGCAGAGTCCTAGCTTCTTGTGGGTTGTTGGGGTGGGGAGGGGGCTAACAACAGAAGAGCCAGTCATGATTTTCTGTTATTTCTTGGTGAAATCAGCTTGAACTGGCAGAGACTGCCTCCTTCTAATGGAGCACAGGCTCTGCGCTATGGCACCGTCTGTTTTACCAGACTGGTCATTTATCTCACAGGTTAAAGACCAAAAGTTCATCTACATTCTACGGGAATGAATGACCTTTAACTTGCTAAAATTTATACATGAGAAATTGGGGGCAGGAATGGGGAGGGGGAAGAAAGGAACATGTGCACACATGGAAACTTACTTCATATTCATCCTGGGCTTTTAATATAAATGAGAACCCGACCTATCTACATGCACTCTAAGCTCTTAATGCCTTGAAGCGTTTACCTGCAAAAGGTGGTCCCAGCAATGCGGAGATGCCGTTAGCACAGATGATGATACCGTAGGCATTGGCCAGGTGCTCAATCCCCACCAAGTCCTCCGTCACCACAGGCATCAGGGAGAAATAACCGCTGGAAAAGCCTATCAGGGCACAGATGACTGCCAGGCCTGCGTAGGTGTGCATCAAGGGCAGAATAAAAATACTGAGGACCAGGGTGAAGTTGGCCATCAGGAAGACATTCCACACACTGATGCAGGGTAGGTCGGCCACGACGCCCAGGACCACTTTTCCAAAGATGTGAACTATGGCTATGATTGAAGTCAGGGGGAACACATCATTTTGCTCTGATAACTTGTACAAGTTGACTATTTCTGGGAGGTGAATGAAAGGGATGACGAAGCTGCTGTAGGCAAACAGAGCCCAGAAAATAAAGGCGACAAACATCCGATTAGTAAAGAGCGAGGCTGTCCCAAAATAGCCCGAGTACCAGTCCCGGAAGCCCTTCCTAACCCTCATGGTCAGCTGGCTCACCGTCTTCAGAAGACGGAAGGCGCACATGTCTGTGTGTGCGGCTTTCTCCTGGCACGCCTGGGCGGGCGCGTCCCCGAGGGAGTTGTCCTCGGTGTTGGGGCCTCCTGGCTTCTCCTCGGCTTCCCCCAGGTGTCCACTGGACCTGACCGATTCGGTGGAGTGAGCCGGCAGGACGTGGTGCGGCGCCTTCCCTTCAGGGTCATCGCAGTCCATCCCAGGCGAGAGGGGCCTCATGAGCGCGCCGCACACGCACAGGTTCAGGGACACGGCGCCCTGGATGAACATGGCGTTCCGCCAGCCGTACTCCGCGCACAGGTACTTGAGCAAGACCGTCATGAGGAACGTGCCGAAGCCGGTCCCGGTGGTGCTGAGACCCTGGGCGAGCGCGCGCCTCTTCTGGAAGTACCTGCCCACCATGACCACGGCTGGCAGGTAGGCCATCCCGCTGCCGAAGCCTGCGGCCCCGAGAGGGGAGAAAACGCAGACAAGGTAAATGGCCACAGCCCTGGCTGGCAGCCTTCAAGATCATTTGCGTCTCATTACCTTCATCTCTGTAACTGTTTTTGAATAACAGCGATGGTTTAGTCGCTAAGTCGTGTCCCACTCTTGCAACCCCACGGACTAGATATAGCCTGCCAGGCTCCTCTGTCCATGGGATGCTCCAGACCAAATATTGGAGTGGGTTGCCATTTCCTTCTCCAAATAACAATAGCCAGTACTTACTGACCACTCACAGGAGTCCATGCGCTTTACAGACAATACCACAGGGAATCCCCTCTATCAAAAGGTAACATCTTACACAATAGGTGCCATTATGCCCATTTTTGTACTTGGAGAAGCTGACACTCAGAAAGAATCTCAACCCAGGTGTGTTTTTGTCGTCCAAAATTTGGGCTTTTCCTGCTGTGGCCTCCACCCACGCGGAGTTTTCTCTTCTTTTGTTTAACTTTTCTTTTAAACAAAGATACAATCATGATTGTTTAAAAAAAAAAGGAGCTTGGGAGGTAAGTACCAAGACCATTACCAACAGAAGCCTTTTTCTAGTCCATCATTTCTCCCAACAGGCTTTTCAGCATAGGTTATACCAATAATAATAATAATAATAATAAATTACATTAGATAAGTTATATATACTAAATAAACAACTAAAGTAAGTCTGCATCCTCACATGAGAATATAAGCTCCACCAGGGCAGGACTGTGGGTATTTTCGCCCCGGTATGCGGGGCATTGCCCAGAATACATAGCATGTGCTCAGTGATTTGTGAAAGACAGCATGCATTCTGAGCGTTCTGCTGTCAGTGCTAATTGCATTTAATACACAGGAAGTACTCATGGACAAGGGGAGGCAGTGACTCCAGGCAATTGGCAGAAGCCTCAGGAATGGGCCAGTGTGTTCCCAAATTCATCAGAAGAATAAAAGGAATTAAAATGTACCCATGAGTATACATACCCAGGAGACGTCAAAACCACCTAAGACCCATTTGTAGCTCTGATGTTTTTAATTGTATTTTTCTTAGAAAACAGGACAAGCTGGTGGTTGACATGGACAAAATTAAAACGCTGCTGGGGAGGGTGGTGAGTGTTGGGGGCACTCAAAGTGTTGGGAACACTTTGTGGTTTCACACAATTTTGCTGAACCTAACAGTCGTGGTGCTGTGCTGTTGTGTCCGACACTTTGTGACCCCATGGACTGAAGTCCACCAGGCTCCTTTGTCCATGGAATTTTCCAGGCAAGAACACTGGAGTAGATTGCCACTTCCTTCTCCAGGGGATCTTTCTGACTCAGGGATTGAACCCACATCTCTTATGTCTCCTGTAGTGGCAGGTGGGTTCTTTACCACTGCAGCGCACCTGGGAAGCCCTAAAATGGCTCTAAAAATGAAGTTTATTTAAAAATAAAATAAATATGAAATCAAATCAAATAAAGCACTGGCCAAGAGGTTGAGGGTTGTGTTCTCAACTTTTAGGTACAGATGGAGGGAAACCATAAAACCCTGCTTCAGTTGTTCAAGGGGTCCCATTGCATTCTAATGTTTACAACCTCCTGACATTAGGATAGCAGCTTAATAGCAGAGAAGAGACTGTGACCAACAGCATGCTCCAAAGCTGAGAGGCTTCCCTAGTTCAGCATCATTTAACAGTTTCAGAATTACTTTAATTTGGAAGGAGACCAGAGCAGTCATACACCCAAATATAATAATAACAGTTACCGCTAATTGAGTGGCAATGATGTTGTTGCCTTTCGGGTTTTATCTGGTTTAATTTTCACAATAACCTGAAAGCTACCTGTGGTTATGCCCAGATTATTAAAGGGAGCATTGAATCTCATGGAGATTGAGAAACTTTCCCTGACCTTGCAGCAGGTAGCCGGAGAATCTGGATGGGAATTCAGACTCAACTGCAGGGTCTGTTCCTTTCCATTGTCTGTGCTCTGTCTCACCCTTAACTGCTCATCCCCTGGCTGCCAGGATGGAGCTGCAGAAGCATTTTGCTCCAGCTTTTAAAATAGATGAATTCCTTAAACTGGATAATCTTATCATTATTTTATCTGAAAAAATGAATCATTCCTTGATATCATAAAATATCCAGAAGGTGTTTAAATTTCTAATTGTCTTATGCTGCTGCTCAATTGCTTAGTCATTTCCAACTCTTTGCGACCCCGTGGACTGTAGCCCGCCAGGCTCCTCTGTCCATGGGATTCTCCAGGCAAGAATACTGGAGTGGGTTGCCATTTCTTTCTGCAGGGGATCTTCCCGACCCAGGGATCAAATCCATGTACCCTGCATCTGCAGGTGGATTTTTTTTTTTTTATCGCTGAGCCACTGGGAAAGACCCTGTCTCAAAAATGACCATATTTTTAAAAGATTTGTTTAAATCAAGTAAGGCCCACACATTGCTATTTGTTGATATATACATTTTAAGTCTCTTAAGTTCTCTCTTTATTTTCCTCACAATTTACTTGTTGAGGAAACTGGATCATTTGTCCTTTGAAATTTGCCCTTCTGCATTTTGCTGGAGGTGCAAAAGTTTACTTTTCAAAATCTGATTTGTCACTGACAGTAACCAACATCCTAAATTAAATGTGGTTACGGTTCGCTAAACAACAGCAGAATGAAATGACTAATAAGGAACCGAATCAAGAGACCAAAGCAAAAAAAAAAAAAAAAAAGAGACCAAAGCATAAGAGTAGCACCAGTTATAACATCATTTAAATAATAAATACCCCCATGTGTGAGAAAAAAAATTTTGTGTCTGATGCTATAAGCATCTGTTACCCTCTCCAAGTCCTGAACAATATCCCCCTTCCTCGTGTGACTTTGTGATTCGTAATCGGCACAATTATTCTCTGAGTGTGTAGGACAGGCCTTGGGGATACTGAGGCCCAAGCGCAGTGGTCAGGCAGGGCCCTGGAACAATTCTTCACCACATCAGGTCGATTGCCTGGTGGCTCAGCCAGTAAAGAATCCGTCTGCAATTCAGGAGACCCAGGTTCAATCCCTGGGTGGGGAAGCTCTCCTGGAGAAGGGAATGGCAACCCACTGCAGTATTCTTGCCTGGAGAACTCATGGACAGGGGATGCCTGGAGGGCTCCAGTCCATGGGTTGCAAAGAGTTGGACACGACTGAGCCACTAACACTTTCACTTTGTACCCGGATAAGCCAGGAAGAAGAAGAAGGCCCAGAGCAGGGAAGAATCAATCCTGTGGTTTTGAGTAAAAAGCACGATTGGAGGGAAAGGTTCTTCCAGGAGCTGAGTAAGAAAATGGAGCCCTTAAATGGCAAAGCTGAAGAAATTTGTCCAGACTCTCCTGGGTAAGTAAGATCACTCAAACAGATGTTAATTTTCTGCTCATTAAGAGGACATCCATGTAATTCTAATTGCCTAGATGTTAAAAAAACAAATATCAAAAAGTCTGCCTCAAATGCTTCTTGTAATGAAGAAGGATGTCAACAAAGTCTCTTTCAAACATAAAGAGGTATGTACATACAGATATACAAATATGTTTATCACTGAACAGTGATAAACATGCATACACACATAGATATCTCAATAACTTGCCTTAAAAATATTTTATTTAAAAATTTTAAAATTAATTTAGTTTTGTTTTTGTTGTTTCAGTCACTCACTTCTTGCAGATATTTCATCTAACTTTTTTCTTTTCTATAAAATAGGGGTCAGTCAGCTTCAAAATGTCTCACTAACGACAGCCCAACAGTATACAAGCTAGCTGATTTAGCTGGATTTTCCACTTAAATATAATTATAATATATATTTGTGGAGAAAGTGGATACATTTATTTTCAGAGACTTTCTTTGAGTGTTTCCTGTATAAAAAGTGGGTGCAATAAAGTGTTTCAAGAAACACTTTCCTTTCACTGGTTTCCTGATCTTTTTCCTACTTCTTTGGATCCATAAATACTTGTTGAATAAATAAGTAAATGAATGAATATGGAGATCATATTATTTGAGGATCAAAAGCAACTAATTGCAAGATATAAAATTCCATTTAAACGAAGAGTCTGAAACAAAGAGTCTGACCATAGGCATCTCTAAATGATGGGAATAAATTTCAAGTCCTAGTTTTTTCTTTTGGCCATGCTTGTGTGATCTTAGTTCTCTGACCAGGGATTGAACCTGAGCCATGGCAGTGAAAGGCCAAGTTCTAACACTGGTAAACCCACTGGACCGCCAGGCAACTCCCTCAAGTACTGATGTTGGGGGTCGATTCATAGTACATATGTCCAGACAATATGGATCAAGTTCCTAGGGGCTCCCATGTGTGTGCCCAGAGACTGGTGTGACTTCGTTAGTTTTAGCAAAAGTAAAATCCCTGTGCCAGCTCTATTCATTGGACTGTGATGGGGCAGTTTCTAAATCACCTCAGGAAAAACATTTTGAATTGTTCTTTAAGAAGTGTTGTCACGTCCTTCAGATCAATGGTTTCCAAATTAGGCTTCATAGAATACAGAAGTGCTTTTTACACCTAAAGATGTATATGTGGATACATCACAGAGAACCAACTTGTCAGCTTATATGGACAGTTGGTTTTTATGTTCACCTTCTTCTGCTACCTTAAAGCATAAACTTAAGCTTATACTAAAAATGTTATATCATATATAATAACAATTACATATTAGCTAACATTTGCTTAAGACTTTATTATGTGCCAAGCATTGTGCTAAGTGCTTCATACAGATCATTTCATATAACCTTTTCAACAACCCTGTAAGCCAAGCAGTCAATTATTCCATTTTGCAGATAAACAGACTGAGGCATAAGCAAGTTAAGTAATTTTCCCAAAGTCACACATATTAAGTGGGGAAAGAAAAGCAAGGGTTCCAACTCTAACTTTGAACTCTTTACGAAAACACCGCCATCAAGGTGCCATTTATGATGATTATAGCTCTGTATTCAAAAAGGTCAGGCTGGATCCGGTTCACTGAAATACAATTGTATGAGTAAGAAACTACTTATCCGTGTGCATTCTGCTATCTGTTGATAGAAGAAATTATGGCTGGGAATACATTTTGCAAAATGGATATGCAAACTGTGCTGCCTGAGAGCCAATTTTTATATATCCCCTGGGGACTGCCACTCTGCTCTGGATTTGATTCTTACAGTCTCTAAATCTGTGTGGGTTTTGCTGCTGTTTCATTAATTTGAACAGAGCCAAAAGAGAACGTGATTTTTCTCTGATTCACGCTGGATTCTGCAGTTCTTAAATGAGAGAATGTTGTTAGTACGTGGGTTTTGTTATAAGAGAAGGACTAGCACTTAGAACCAGGTATAGAAAATTTAATTAAATTCTATTAGGGAGGCCAAGTATAGCTGTTAGGTTGTCTCCTCATGCTTCAGGTATATTTAACATCTTATATTAAAAGTATTACCTGGAGGATAGGATATGGGTAGGGTGGGGTAGAGACAAAGGGACTAAATATTTAATGGGTCTCTTTTCTCCATGATGAAATTCATTGCCTGAATGCTCAACAGAAACACATAAAGTCAAGTTTAGGAAAACCACTTATGGGGACTTCCCTGGAGGCCCAGTGGTCAAGACTCTGTGCGTCCAAACCAAGGGGTGTGGGTTCCACTCCTGGTTGAGGAACTAAGATTCCACACGGTGTGCGGCGTGGCACAAAAAAAAAAAAAAAGGGGGAAGGAAATCCACAATGCTTACCGGCTGCCAGTCCAAAGGTAATAAAGAGATAATACACGTTGGCGGCGTAGGCACTCAACACCCAGCCCAGCGAGTTCAGCAGCCCTCCGATGATGGCCGTCCGGCGGCACCCACAGGTGTTAATGAACAAGCCGATGAAAGGTCCTGCCACAGAACATTAAGAAAGGAACTGACTAGTGGAAAGTTACGGCCAACCTAGACAGCATATTAAAAAGCAGAGACATTACTTTGCCAACAAAGGTCCGTCTAGTCAAGGCTATGGTTTTTCCAGTGGTCATGTATGGATGTGAGAGTTGGACCATAAAGAAAGCTGAGCACCGAAGAATCGATGCTTTTGAGGTGTGGCGTTGGAGAAGACTCTGGAGAGTCCCTTGGACTGCAAGGAGATCCGACCAGTCTATCCTAAAGGAGATCAGTCCTGGGTGTTCATTAGAAGGACTGACGCTGAAGCTGAAACTCCAATACTTTGGCCACCTGATGCGAAGAACTGACTCATTTGAAAAGACCCTGATGCTGGGAAAGATTGAAGGCGGGAGGAGAAAGGGGTGACAGAGGATGAGATGGTTGGATGGCATCACTGACTCAATGGACATGAGTTTGAGTAAACTTCGGGAGTTGGTGATGGACAGGGAGGCCTGGCGTGCTGTGGTTCAAGGAGTTGCAAAGAGTTGGACACGATTTAGTAAACTGAACTGAACTGAGTAGCATTTTATTTTCATTTTTTTATCTTAGGGAATCTCTATATGAAGACAAAACTTTACTAGAGCTGTTAACTAAAACAAACCAACCCCCCCGCCGTGGCCTTATGTGCAGAGAGCTTTTGGCATTCAAAGACAGGTTTCAGTAATGTCCCCACATGACACAAGGTTCTAGATTTCTAGGAAAGACAGACCTGAAATAAATAGACGTGTTGATTCATTCTCTGGTCTACAACAGATCCTAGACTGGAGATCCAGAGGCTCCACCCAGCCTGTGGATACCTTTTGTTTATCGAGAACAAAATTTTAAATGTTTTGAGTCAGTTACCAACATTTAAAAATTAGGATTATTCACAAAAAATCCTTCCCCTATGGCCCAAAGCAGCTGGTCCTGTGCGGTAGGTGATCCCGTTTAGCTGTGTCACACCCTCTCCAGTTTGCCACAGCCCCCACCCAAATATTAGTCTCTTATTTGGCCTCCTGGTCGCATTTACATTGCTTGTTTGGCCTCTGTTCACATTTGAGTTTTTCCTCCAGGCTTTAAGGGAGTATAGAAGGGGGCTCTCGGGACATCCATGCTTCAGGCGAGGCACTTGTAGCCTGTTTTCATGAGGACATCTAGATGCAAACCAAGCCAGAAAGAACTTCTCATGACGTCACACATACTTCAACCTCTGCTGACTCTCAGTTCCAATGGGACCCATCAGGCTATGCATTTATGACACTGTGTGAAGATTCAGGAATACACTTCACTCTTTTTTTTTTTTTTTAAATTTTTGTCAACCTTTCTTTCTTCCTGCCTTTGTGGCAACTTGTCTTGGGATAAGTGATTCCTTCTTCGAACAGCAATCTATATTTTAGTAATACCATTTGAGGCTGTACTCAACATTCAGTGTTGTTGTTGTTCAGCCGCTAAGTTGGATCTGACTCTTTGCAAACTCCTGGACGGCAGCACACCAGGCTCCTCTGTCCTTCACTATCTCCTGGACTTTACTCAAATTCATATCTACTCAGTCAGTGATGCTATTTAACCATCTCATCTTCTGTCTCCCCTTCTCCTTTTGCGCTCAGTCTTTTCCAGCATCAGGGTCTTTCCCAGTGAGTTGGCTCTTCACAACAGGTGATCAAAGTACTGGAGCATTCAGTAAGATCATCCATTTTATTTATTTGACTGTGCTGTGTGGTATGTGGGACCTTAGTTCCCCAACCAGGGGTGGAACCCAAGTCCCCTGCACTGGAAGGGTGTAGTTTTTACCACAGGACTACCAGGGAAGTCCAAGATCATGCATTTTAAACATCATCTTAGGGAATTCCTTGGCAGTCAGTGGTTAAGACTCAGCACTCTCATTGCAGTAAGATCCCTTAAGTTGTGCAGTGTCGCCAAAAAATAAAAAAGACGTCACATTTTTTATCATTATTACTTTATGTAGTTATGAAACCCTATGTTCAGGTGGGTCTATTTCAGATTAAAAACTTACTAAGCTGGGACTTCCTGGTGATCCAGCAGTTAAAGAATCAGCCTTGCAATGCAGGGGGCATGGGTTCAGTCCCTGGTCAGGGAACTAAGATCTCACATGCCGTGGAGCAATGAAGCCCATGCAACTACTGAGCTTGTATGCTACAACTAGAGAGTCTGTGTGCTGAGATGAAAGACCTCATATGACACAAGACCTCAAGTGCTGCAACTAATACTCAACGCAGCCAAATAAAAAAAAGAATGAGTTTACTTAATTTCCCATGTGTGAGTCACTGCCCAAGACAGTGCTTTCAACTCTGTGACACAATTCATGGCATTTTTAAAAGTGTAACTCAGCGTCCTTACAAGGATGAGAAAGAGAAAACTGTTTATACTTATTCACTTCAAATATATTTTCGGTTCTCATTCAGTGTCCTGGCAGGCAGGGTGGTAGAGTGGGCATCATTTTGGAGTCCAGTGGACCACATTTGAAGCCTGTCCCGCACTTACTGGTTACAAGTTAACTTCAGTAACGTAATGTCTCTGAGTGTTGCATGTTCTCCTCTGTGAGATGAAGATGATGGTCTGGCCCCCAGGCTTGCCAGAGAATCAAATGAGATCACGTACATCATACGCACTTGGCAACTGCATGAATTCATGCATGCTAAGTAGCTTCAGTCCTGTCCGACTCTTCACAACACTATGGGCTGTAGCCCACCAGTCTTCTGTGTCCATGGAATTTTCCAGGCAAGAATACTGGAGTGGGTTGCCATACCCTTCTCCAGGGGAGCTTGCTGACCCAGGGATTGAACCCACCTCTCTTATATCTCCTGCATTGACAGGCAGGTTCTTTACCACTAGCGCCACCTGGGAAGCCCACATGTGGTGTGTAATAAGCGCTAAATAAAGGAGAGCTGTTTTTGCTGGCTTCTGCCTTGAAAAGCACCCAACGTATCTGCTGCCACCTGTATCAGGCACCTTAGATAATGAATAGCAATTTAGGGTCATGATAGACAGAATAAAAGACCTTTCATTTATATAACTATGAGCCTTGCTGTGCTGTAATTTCTGAGCACAAGATAAAAGATGTTTATCTGGCAGGCACCTTTCCTGAAGAAAGGTTATTCTACTGTCAGAAGCTCCACTGTCTGGAATTCAAGGACTCTCAGAATTCAGAATCCACGGTTACCTCCCAATTAAAGGTGACAATCACATTTCATCACCACTGTTGAGTTAGGTGTTCTGATCTGGGGGATCATCTTTAGGAAAGTGAAAGTGAAAGTAGCTTAATTGTGTCTGACTCTTTGTGACCCCATGAGAGTCCATCAAACTCTCCAGGTCAGAATACTAGAGTGGGTAGCCTTTCCCTTCTCCAGGGGATCTTCCCAACCCAGGGATCGGACCCGGGTCTCCCGCATTGTGGACAGATTCTTTACCAGCTGAGCCACAAGGGAAGCCCAAGAAACTGGAATGGGTAGCCTATCCGTTCTCCAGGGGATCTTCCCGACCCAGGAATTGAACTGGGATCTCCTCATTGCAGGCAGATTCTTTACCAGCTGAGCTATGAAGGAAGTCCAAGAACCACATCCAATAACTTTAGGACTGATTTCCATTGTTTTTCCTTTACTTACTCATTGAGAAGGTAAAATTATATCCAACATGAAAGTGTTATTCGCTCAGTCATGTCTGACTCTTTGCAACTCCCTGGACTGTAGCCCGACAGGCTCCTCTGTCCATGGAATTCTCCAGGCAAGAGTACTGGAGTGGGTTGCCATGCCCTCTTCCAGGGGATCTTCCCAACCCAGGGATCAAACCAGGGTCTCCCTCATTGCAGGCAGATTCCTTACCATCTGAGCCACCAGGGAAGCCCATATCCAACATAAAACTAGCAAATTCCCTGCACTAAGCTTAACCTACTTGCACTTCTTATATGATACAACAGTCCTGATTTGAACAAGGCCACGGCAGGGTTGAAGGAGTCAGTCAGTTCGTCACAGTTACAGGCAAAAATGATTTATCAACAATTCACTTACACACATAATAGTGCCCTTATTTAATTTTAAAACTAGATCAGTAACCATTCCCTGTGATAAACACATACCCCCTGCACACATCTTGAGAAGTAACACTCTGTCCTTGTTTTCTGTCATTAGCACTGCTACTGTTACTAATGTCACTAGTATTATCCAAAAAAAAACAACTGGCTGAATACCAGCCAAGATCAACAAATCTCTGAATTGAATTCAAGCAATTAATTACCAATGTGGAAATCACTGACAAGACAAAGACTGTTGTCAAACACACATATGCCTGTCATACACATACTTTCACAACCAGGAAGATATTTGAGGCCATTTATGTTTTCCCTGGAGGAGGGCAGGGCAGTATTCTCCAGTGTTCTTGCCTGGAGAATCCCATGGACAGAGGAGCCTGGTGGGCTGCAGTCCATGGGCTCACAAAGAGTTGGACACGGCTGAGTGGCTAACCACTTTCACTTTTTTCCAGCTTTCTGATTTACTATTTCCCACGAGATAAGAATTGCTTTCATAGATTGCTGGGTGGTTAGGTTAAACCACAAAATACAAGAATATGTTATTATTCCTTCCTGTTAGCTGTATCAATAACCTTTCTAAAAACAGCTTAATAGATTTTTCAATGACATGGGATCAATATTTCAAATGTAAAACACTAGGGCTCTGAAATAAGATGGTTATTTACTTTTACTGTGTTTTTCTCTAAGTTTTTTATCTTTTAAAAATATTGATAAGTGTTTCAAAACAGATTTGTAATGGTAGGTAATGATTTATAATAGTTAAGAAAACAGGGGCAAACATTTTTAATGATTTTTTTAAATGCTCAAAATGTTTACAGTGCTCAAATAGGAGTATCACACAGAAGAACAAATATTGTCTGAGTCTACTTATTCAAGGTACTTACAGTAAACAAATTCATAGAGACATAAAACAGAATGGCATTGGCCAGAGATAGGGGGCTGAGAGGAGAGGTGGCGATGGGGCCTTATGGCTTAATTGGTAGGATTTCAGTTTAGGAAGATGAGAAAAGTTCTGGAGATGGAAGGTGGTGATGAATGTACTCAATGGTATTGAACTGTATACTTAAAAATGGTTAAACGGGTAAATTTCATGTTAGGTGTATCTGACCACAATCAAAACAAGGGTAACATCCACTAACATCTAATCTCTAGCACTTCAATGAGATAAAGCATGACTTACAGCGAGGGACTGTCATATTATAATTATATTATAATTATAATTGACAACAGGTCACGCATGAACATACCCACAATCAAGGTGACGCCCATGCTGAGGGAGCTAACCCACGCCGTCAGGCCGCGGCTCTGATGGAATTCTTCAAGCCACTCCACGTTGAGGACGCCCAGGGCCATCTGGGAGCCCATGATAAGGATGTGCACAAAGAAAGAAGACAACACCATCACCCAGGCCCAGCCACCATCAATGTCCGGGTGGGGTTTAAGTGTTTTCTTATCTTTGGGGTCATCTTCAAAATCATACCCAATGTCTTCATGACTTGTATACATTTTCCAAGATGTTCTGAAATACATAAGGACAAATAATTTCATGGAACATCAGAACAAAAAATATCTCCTTCTTCTTTGGACAGCACTACCTCCCCATCAAAACCAAAGTCACCCCACCATCACACTGGATCTTTAGTCTTTGTCATTATGTAGATTTGGGAACACGCTTTGCTTTTTTGCAAGGCCAAGTGCTTTTATGAAATCTTTTTCATCTTTACAGTCATCCTATATATAAATGCTATGATGGTTATTTCAAAGAAACGAAAATCGACTCAGAGAAGTTAAGCACCTTTCCCAAGTTCTCAAGGCCAGTAGATAGTATGGCTAGATAGGAACCTGGGAATTGAACCCAGCTATTCCTGATTCCAAAACCCAAGCCTTGTGTCCCTTACTGAGATGGAAGCTGACAGATAACACAGATGTCAGAGAAGGAAGGTGCCTGGTCTTAGGTAGGGTAGCCCGGTCCTGTGCGGGCTCTTGGCAGAAGATAGTGTTCTCAGTTTTGTGGGTCCAAGTGTTCAATTTGTTCAGTACAGCTACAGTGGGTTAGCCCCAGGGGGACTGACTCATACGAACCCAACTCAGGGGAGACTGGTAAAGAAGAAGGCTGATTTGTTATCTGACAAGGGGCGATAGAGTTTTTTAATAATGGTGATGCTATGTCTGACATACATGACTTACTTTTATCCCCTCTGTCCACCCCCATTCTGAGCATTTAGCTGGGAAGCTAGAAAACTGCTAAGACAATAGGAAATCAGACTAAAGAAATTTGGACACTACAGTGATGTTCAGGTTACCAGAAAGCCAGGGGCTAGATCTTGAAGGCCCTTATGTGTCAAAAAAGGATCTTGGAGTTTATCTTTACAAAATGAACAGTTGGCAGCTGCATTTACACAAGGAAGAGATAAGATGGGGTATGTGCTTTGCATAGACCCATCTCTCAAGTTGTTCGATCAAGAGGATGGAGGTTGGATGGAGCTAGAGGGGAGACGATACCAGGTCAGGGAAGGTCTCTGGTTTTATCTTGTAGGATGAGATTGAAGTATGTGCATAGGAGCTGAGGATAAAGAAAAAAATAGAGATAGAGATAAAGACAGAGACAGACATAGATGCATGCGTGCTAAGTCACTTCAGTTGGGTCTGAGTCTCTGTGACCCCATGGACCCGTAGTCTGCCAGGCTCCTCTGTCGGTGGGATTCTCCAGGAAAGAATACTGGAGTGGACTGCCATGCCCTTCCCCGAGGGGATCTTCCCAACCCAAAGATCAAACCTAAGTCTTTTGTGACTTCTGCACCGCAAGCAAATTCTTTACCCACTGAGCCACTTGGGAATCCCAGAGAGACAGAAAATGACTAACCCCAGAGGTCATGGGACAGGGTTAGTCTTGATCAGGAAGGGTGACCAATCCTCTAAGACTGGAGGAAGCAGCAGGTAGATAGAGATAAGATGGTAAGCATGGGGTGGAAAGTGATGCTTGTTAGTCTAATTTAATGAAGCTAGCTCATTGGTTGAGAATGAGGAGGATGGTGGCTTTGTTGGGGCTTCAGTGCTCAGGATAATGAAACAAACTACTGTCTACAACAAGTGGAAATGATTGTTGGGCAGCTGAGCCCTGCGGGGCAGTGAAGCACCACGGACAGAGCAGAGGGGGCACTTGGCCCCAGAAGCCACCAACGAGAATAAAAAAAGCAAGAACAAACGACTAAAAGTTGGTCTTTTTTGTCATCACTGTTGTGCCAGTAATTCTAGATGTCACTGACAAAATACTCTTCCCTGAAAAAATCCTTTGTTGATCAGAGTTTCAAACAAGGATTTTTTAACAATGATGTTTTCATATTATGTCTGTAAGCGTCACATCAGCATCATTTTCTAAACACATGTAGATGGAAGTTATTTCAGAGAACTAATGGTGATATTTTGGCTTTGGCCACCTGATGAGAAGAACTGGCTCATTGGGAAAGACCCAGATGCTGGGAAAGATTGAGGGTAGGAGGAGAGGGGGATGACAGAGGATGAGATGTTGGATGGCATCACTGACTCAATGGACATGAGTTTGAGCAAACTCCGGGAGTTGGTGATGGACAGGGAAGCCTGGCGTGCTACAGTCCATGGGGTCACAAAGAATTGGACACGACTGAGTGACTGAACTGAACTGACACATGTAGGGCCCCAGCTGCACACTTCTGGCTCTTTTTCTTTTTTAAAGATCTTTTTATTGAAGTATAGTTGATTTATAATATCATGTAAGTGTCAGGAGTATAGCACAGCAATTCAGTTGTATGCTATATAATATTGAATGTAGCTTCCTGGGCTATACAATAGGTACTTATTGATTATTTTATATACAGTAGTGTATATATGTTAATCCCAAACTCCTAATTTATCCCTCCCTCTGACCTTTTTTCTTTGGTAACCGTAAGTGTATTTTCTAAGTGTGAATCTGTTTCTGTTTTGTGAATAAGTTCATTTGTTTCATTTTTTAGATTCCACATGAGTGATAGCATATGATATTTGTGTTTTCCTATCTGACATAATTCACTCAGTATGACAATCTCTAGATCCACCCATATTACTGCAAATGGCATTATCTCATATTTTTTTTAAATGGCTGAATATCATTCCATTGTATATATGTACCACATCTTCTTTATCCAATCCTCTGTTGATGGACATTTTGGCTACTTCCATGTTTTGGCTATGGTAAACAGTGCTGCAGTGAAAATTTAGGTGCATGTATCTTTTTGAATTATGGTTTTCTCCAGATACATGCCCATGCGTGGAACTGCTAGATCATATGGCAACTCTATTTTTAGTTTTTAAAGGAATCTCCACACTGTTTTCCATAGTGGCTGCACAAATTTACATTTCTACCAACAGTGTAGGAGGGTTCCCTTTTTCTCCACATCCTCTCCAGCATTTATTATTTGTAGACTTCTTGATGGTGGCTATTCTGACCACTGAAATTTTAATTTGCATTGACCATCTTTTCCTGTGTCTTTTGACCATCTGTATGCACATATCTGTTTTGACAGTAAGAGTTTCTAAGAATTTAGAACTGCTGACACTCACCTCAGCTCAGTTTGGATCTGCAATGCCTGCAGTGTTACATATCACTGCCTTTAGCAGGACATTCGAGATGGACCCTGACATCACATGATGGTGGAGATGAACAGCAGGATGCTAGCTACTTGACTTTTGCCCTCCACATGCCCACCTGCAGTCTTTATTTTTGTTTAAAATTTAAAAGAGCGAAACAGTGCAAGACCACAGGGTGAAAAACTTGGGTTTGGAAAGTAGTCAATACATGAAACATTTTACTCAGTTGAATAATGTCTTTAAAATGCAAATGCATTCTTTGTCTCAGGTAATTATTTTAAAACCAGAAGAGCAAATCAGAAAACAATTATTACTGACCATGACATGTTATTACTGAAAATCCTTTTGTTGCAGTGGAGGAAGGTGATGTAAAAAACGGTCCCAGTACACTAGGAACACCTCCAACTGGGGGGCTGTTCTGTGCAGTACTGGCACATGGACGAGAGGACAGAGAAGCAGACTGTGGCAAAGCACCCAGCACCCAACCTCCTTTAGGGAAGCACCCTGTGCCGTTTGCATAGCCTGTCTCTGTACACTCCTGAGCAAAGAATTGTTTTTACCTTTTCGAAGGCTATGCGACCACAGAATTTAAAAATGCTTACTCTCTGACCCTTTGTAGGAAAAGTTCACAAATCCTCAGGCTAAGAGTTTGTTGGGAAGAAACAGGCACTAAAGGATCAGGGATGCTAGTGGAAGAGCAATTTAAAGGATCTACCCTGGGGCTCATCTTGACTCTTACTTTTTCTTGTACTCATTATTTTTATCTTTTGAGCTTTCCTGGTGGCACAAACAGTAAAGCGTCTACCTGCAATGCAGGAGACCCGGGTTCGATCCTCTGGAAAAGGAAATGGCAACCCACTCCAGTACTCTTGCCTGAGAAATTCCGCAGACAGAGAGCCTGGCAGGCTACAGTACGTGGGGTTGCAACGAGTTGGACACCACCAAGCAATTAACACATCTTGACTCTTCCTTTCATACTCATTGTTTTTATCTTTTAGATGATTCTATCTCTTGAACAGCTGGGCAGTTCTCAGCCACTACACTTCCTGTCTGCAATGCTGCTCTCTGCTGGGTCCCCTCTTGTTTACCCAGGCTGCTGGGAGAGATAAAATGCTATCTTACCGTGTAACTTCCCCACCCTGTCAGGTTATCTTGAGGATCAAGTTCAAACTGCCCTGTCTGCCCCCAGGTTCTCCTCTTGCGTTATCTGCCACCCTGCCAGCTCCCTCCTCCCGTTCTTCACCTTTGGCCTCTACTTTCCAGGCTGGTGGAAGCACCTGCAGCTCCCTGAACCTGGCACAGCCTTGTAAGTTTTTGTGCATGATGTTTTCTTCTTTCGGGAACACTCTTCTCTCCTTCTAATCTCCTCCTTCTCTTCTGCTCATCCTTCAAGGTTTAACTGAATTCTAATAGTGAAATTTTGAAAGAATGAGGGGGAAAAAAAAAAACACCTTACAAATATCTCTAATATCCAACATTACAGTAAGTGTTAAATCAATCACTCATGCCATAGCTATGCAATGCCAGTGCACAATCAAAAATAAAACTACACAGGCTCTTTGAAGATTTATAAAGGAAGGAAATGGCACCCCACTCCAGTAGTCTTTCCTGGAAAATCCTATGGACGGAGGAGCCTGATAGGCTACAGTCCATGGGGTCACAAAGAGTCTGACAAGACTTCACTTTCACTTTCAAGGTGTGAATTATACTTGGGGGGGGGTCACAAAATGGGGTGCATGAAATGACCCCTTTTTGGTTGTTTTTAAAAATATGTTATCTGTAGGGGTGGGGAAAGACTGGAGTGAAACAAACCTGTTGATGGAGATTATTCTTTGAATGATGGTCTTTCAAATAATTTCTCTCTTTATTTAAATTTTTGGGAAGAGTTCTAAATAAATATATAT